GTACTGGACACCGAATAGGTGGACCCTCGAACGGGATACGCTCCGACTTGGTATCAATCTTTCTCAGCTGATGGCTACTCGTTGATTCAGGAAGAATCTTGAGTAATGCGCAGAAGAAGCAGCCCGGCTAGCCACTCAGTCGTACCTGCCAGCCGTCTACGACAGGCTTCCCCGGCAGGTACTCCATCCCTACACATTTAACCATAGGAACAGAAGCTACGCCAGCAACCTATTCTCAGAATGCCTATTAAGAACATCAGGAAGGTCTTTGGTCGGATACAGACATGGCAACGTATATGAAGTCGCGATTAAGCTGCCTAAGCATAGATCCAACGCGCTACTCAAGTAGGCGGGAAAGAAATGCCCTTCTAGCATTGCCACTTCCTTCAAGCTGCTCTTTCTATAAGCTATATTCCAGTAGTGATTAGAGAAGGAATTCATGAGTGACTGACCATTCAACCTTTCCTTCGTATGAGACCGGACATGCCAGCGAATCGAATAGCGTAGGAAGTCAACAAGTCTTAATGGTGGAAAGCTAGAAAGGGAAAAAAGCATTAGTTTCAAGTTGTTTACATACTCGACTAAAAGGAGGAACCCCTCGGGCTAATAAAGTATGTAACTGGCTTAAAAACAAGAAAGCAAGAAAAAGGTATGAAGTTCTAATTGTACAAAACTATTATTACTTCATCCGCTGTGAATAGGCTGAAGGATTTGGATCTTGTCTCTTTGAATCTGCTTTTAAGGCAGAAAGTCAGAACTAGAAACTTTCTCTTGAGATATCCCCATACGTTCCCTTGTGTTAAAGAGCTGTATAATAAGTCCTAGCTATCTGATAATAGCAGTCTTGTTGCTATGGGCTTAGCACTAGTCTGCAATACTCAATTCATACCAGCAGTACGGTTGCTAACTTGTCTTTCAAAGTTGCCCTGGTGTATATACCGGAGTACTTCGAGGTACGCCAGTAGGCCGCCTATTAGTGTATAGATCCTTCCCTCTTCTATGAAGTTGAAGTGAAGCAAGCGAGCCTCTCGATTGAGGGAGACCGATCTGAGTCAGTTTATCCAGTATTTTAGGAAATGTTCGGGATAGATTCACGTTTTCCCGGTCTTTTTGATATAAATTAGCGCTTTTGTGGTACGGGTGGAGGAGGAACCCGTTCACTCAATCCCGGGGAAACAACTCCCTTAGCCTTAGTTGGAAGCTAAACCAAAGTGAAGCTTGTAGGCTCGTAGAGAAAGCTATTTTGCAGGTATACCCATAGATCCATGTTCCTGAACAGTCTCGGAGAAGGCCACCAGCACCCGACTTACCAGAATGTCCCGTTGCAGCACCATGCAAGAAAAGGTTCCTCTTGGAAGCACCATCCGTATTGAATTTGAACCAGCCAATGGAAGGAAATTCCCAAAACTCAAGAACCTGAGCTTATAAGACCAAAACAACTTGGACCTGCCGAATAGACTAGAAGACGATATCATAGTTCTGAATGGCGCGCACTACCTGATGATAGGGAGTGCTCTGTCGCGTTCCATTCGTTTCGATTTCATTTCAATATAGGGCAAGTCCTTTTTCCGACAGAAGGAGTGGTCGTTTTGGGTGACAGAATAAGATTCCCCGGATCTCCCTCAATCTCAAATCGACGACGAGAGATTCTACCACGCTCACTTTTACGTAGCTTCACTTCTTCTTGATCCTGCTCCATTGGAGTTGGTTCATTCAGTGTGTCGCTCCCACTTGCCCCAGGAGGCTGAGTACCTTCGTTCCTCTTCCGAGTGGTCGAGTTGCTAAAGCAACCTCCTCTACTAATTAGTTGAGCCAGTCAGGCCATCCGATCCCTTCCCTACCTTGGCTTTATTCTGGGGATTGATTGGCAGTTGAAAGAGCTGCTCGAAAAGGGTAATGGTTGGACCTAGCTTCCCTGGTTTGGTTGGCTTGGGAATTGGGAATAGGCTAGTCGAGGAACGCCTTGTTTTCTTATAAAATCAAAATTGGTCAAATTAGGTACTGTTACTTGGGAAGGTTAGCTATAGTGACATCCTTTGCTTACAGTCCCGAAGATTAGCTAGACAAAGAAGCTTCCCTAGCTAAGATGTACGATGTCTATTAGTGAAAGGCTACATTCCAGCTTAGATAGAAAGCGAAAGCTGTCCAATTCAAATTGCTAACATGCTAAGACTAGTACTCCTACTAGGCGAAATGGCCCTTCTCCCTAGGTAAAGGAATTGACTTGCTAACAGCCTTTATATAATATATGCAACTCCTTCTCTTCCGAAAGAGCTTACTTTTTATGGCATGAGCTTGTGAAGTCCCACAGCGGATATTCCTCCTACAGCTGATTCGATACCATCCATACAAGCAGCGGATTCTACCCCCCTTACTTGATTCATCGGAGATTGACGGGTGTGATCCCACAAAGTTTTTTGAAAGGGTAGCGGGTAAGACCTCTAATGCCGTGAGTGGAATTAGTCCTAGGCGCACTAGATAAGAGTCAGTAAGAAAAATGCACATTATCTTTCTCTTTATCGCTGAGAAAAGAGCTTATTACATTACATCTGTGCCAAGCTTAGGAAAGCCGGTAATTCCTTCAATGCGGATTCTGTGCATCAATTCCTGGCCGTAGTAGGTATGGGGCTCGCTTCGAAAGAAAGAACTATTCTTTACACAATTCTAAGTTTAAAGACCTTTAGAATATTATTCTTCCCTTTTCCCGCCTTAGGAACACTCACTTCCGTCGACGAGAAGGGAAAGGGCGCAGCTCCGACAGTTTTTCTCTTAAGTTGGAATCCCATAGATGAATAAAGTCAGGGAATCTACATGTGTTAAGCACCATTTAAGAGAAGCTAGCGTCCGATTCCATGCTTCCCTATGCTATAGAATAGAATGACGATGTCTTTGCCTGTCTAGTTAATAAATCTCTTTCGTTGGAGAAGGAGCTGGGATCTTATCCGCGTTGCTAATATTTGGGTGGAGGTTAATCAATAGGGGAATCAGCTGGTATTTCATCTTCCTCTATAATTTTTTGATTTCACGGACATCATTCATTAAACCAAACAAGGACCAGTCGAAGGAGTAAATTACCTCTTTGTACATATACTATACTCATACCCCTATTACGATACAGATTCACCCTATCTTGCTTTCACGGTGAACGACCTGCTTTGACCGGGAACCAAAGAGCCAATACACCAACAACCAAGGAACGGGAGTGGGTGGTCCCTAGGAACGCCCTTCTTTGAGTAAGTCCTTGGTCTAAGTGCTGCCCTATCTAGTTATCCCGGTATCGGTCTTTCAATAGTCTCTGGCGTTCAGACGCTAGTTATTGAGCTCCCCTGGTCTGAGAAGGTAGCTCTCCTAGTAGCAGTTGTCATTGCTACTCTACTATGGACCAACCTATCACCTATCCTTGTACATAACTGCATTTGTAATAGAATAGAGGTTCTTCTTTCTCTGTGCTATATCCCAAAGGCTTTCATTCGTAGCATCAATCAAGTCAGTTTATGAAGGGAAATCCGTTGAACAAATCACTCCGTGCCTCCCCTCAAGCACGACAGATTTACTTTGATAAGCGCACTAGCTGACTACGAGATCAGTCTCACCTCGAGTTCGACTACGGAACGGAACCCCACCCGTGCTTATTGATTGATAGAATAATACGTATATAAGAAGAAGGCTGCTTTGTGGAGTGATCTTTCTCGAAATGAATTAAGTAAGGGCGCTATGTTCAGATTCTGAACCAAAGCACTAGTTGAGGTCTGAAAGCCTTATGAGCAGAAGTAATAAATACCTCGGGGAAGAAGCGGGGTAGAGGAATTGGTCAACTCATCAGGCTCATGACCTGAAGATTACAGGTTCGAATCCTGTCCCCGCACTAAGTAAGGGTTTCATTCTGCATCACTCTCCCCGTCGTTCTCTCATTTTCATTTTATCTTGTGACTCATTCTCTTCTTTCTTTTCGTCTGTTTGTGCATCTTTCTTTCTCCCATGCTTTCCGTCGGTCAAACCAACGATTCTCTTCTCAAAGTAATAGAGAGATCCTTTTCTAGTTAGACTTCTATCAATGCAATGAAAGAACTATCCCTTCCTATTAGTTTGTCCTGTCAGATAGAAAGAAAATTAGACCCCCAAAAGAGAAAGAGCCCGTTGGGGGGTGAAGGGGTGGGGGTTTACATACAACCGAGACAAAGTGGTTTATGATTGAATCTCAGAGGCATTCTTATCATTCAGTTTCCTCGTTCTATTTAATGAATAATAATTGATTCNCAATGAAAGAACTATCCCTTCCTATTAGTTTGTCCTGTCAGATAGAAAGAAAATTAGACCCCCAAAAGAGAAAGAGCCCGTTGGGGGGTGAAGGGGTGGGGGTTTACATACAACCGAGACAAAGTGGTTTATGATTGAATCTCAGAGGCATTCTTATCATTCAGTTTCCTCGTTCTATTTAATGAATAATAATTGATTCTTGGTCTTTGTAAAGGTGGGATACCTGACATCTTTCTATGTCTTTTTTTCCATTTTTTATTTACACATCTTTCCCGATTTCGAGGAAGAGAATTATACAAGGGCTTTGCAAGTTGTATTACAACTTTTTCAGTTTCTTTTGAATTTTCGCCTCTTTACAACTAAAGAAGAAAAAGAGGCAAAATTGCTTTTATTACTAACCTTGTTTTATTCTGTCGTATCGACTCTGTTTCTAAAAAACGTCGTAAGTATCGAGGGTATTGTCTTCATTATGTTTCCTCTTTTTTGTTTATTAATTTTATTTTTTCCATCGGACGTTCTTCCTTGTGCGATTCTTATCTTCTATTCATTGGAAAAGGGACCTCGCGCAATGGGCCTTTTTTCTTCTTTGTCAGCTAATAACATACTATCTTTTTTGCTTCTTTTTGGAGGAACGCCCCCAAAAATCCCTTTGTCCCTTTATCATTCTGAGTGTTTATTTTTTGTTTATAGGAAAAGGCTATTATGGTGAAGATTTTCTGCGCGAACCGGCGCGGCTAACCGCCATGGTGTCGGGTGCTTGCATCATTTTCCTTTGCTTTAAGAGACGAGGAAAACTTGCTTTTTTTTTTCTGTTTTTCATTTATTTTCTATCGAGTACTGGTATAGGGGTTTTTTTCGATAGCTTCGGCGCCGGGAGGAGAGAACATATCATGCCCCATTCCCTTTGTTTTTCTAGCCTGTCATTTATTTATTTTTTGGGGTTTATTCCTTTTTCAAAGGAATATCCGGGCGGAACGACAACCTTTGGTCCCCTTACTCTTTGGAGCATTGCTCTTTTTTCTTCCTTACTTTCCAAACCTGGAATGGCTAGAAGGGTGGATCGAGGGACTCGACCTCTTTCTTCTTTTATTGGGAATTCTTCTATTTGTGTGCGGCGAGGAAAAGAAATGACAAGAATATGGATAGGTTTAAACTTTGGAGTTGGCTTATAGAAAGATGGACAGTAAGGATCGCGTCATTTTTGTTGCTTAGTGATGAAGGTGGAGGCTGACATGGTCTATCTGTTATATAGCATTTTTTCGGTGTCTCAGGGGGTGTTCCTATTTTTGATTTGGCTAGAGAGGGGCCAAAGTAAGACAGTGAAAGAGTGTAACTGCCGTTTTCACGTACCGAAAGGCAGGCCCTTGTATCATGCTTAGTTTGCTTTCGTTTGGCTTGCTTCCATGATATAAGGGGAAGGGGAGTGGTGAGGAGGGCCCCTTCAAGCAGACTACTTTACTAGCTTGAATTCATTCAAAGTACAGGAACTGCTTTAACAAAAGGGCTCGAACTACAGTGATCTGAGACCTTCTTCCCTTAGTCTGGGAGGTAGGTTATGTAGGCGACAACCTTTAATAGGTTGTTTCGATCCCAAAGGGCAAAATAATCGATGAGTAGTATGCCTAGTAAGAACCTTCTCAAGTAGAGAAAGATCATTTTTTATAAGAAAGATGCTAAGGCCGATATTCCTGACGTTAAGAATCTCCTCTTATGCTTCGCCAGCACCCAATAAGGACCACTTAGTGCATTACTAATGACCACTGGAGAAGATCCTTTGCCTCTGCTCCTTGATAGAGCCGCTCAAGGAGTTGCTTCTTTTATCGCTTTACTATTTTTGCTTCTTTGCCAATCGAAAGAGGAAGAGATTGCCATACTGTTAAGGATACATTGTCCATGTCTCTTCTCTATGAAGGCTGTTCCTATTCATATTCAAATTGTTAGATAGCTTCTATCTTTCAGTTTATATCTTTGGTTCTCGAGGTTCTCAAGTTTCAATCCAGATGTAATGGATTGTATTTCAACCTCGGGATAATAACTATATGGGTAAATTGCTTGACGATCTATCCAAAAGGAGCCGTGTCCATGCGGTTTTCCTCTCTCGCATAGAGCCAACCTTACTCTATGTGCTGTCCTGGGTGGGCTACCATCCTTTTCCATTCCACTACTTTACATGTTAGCTCGTCTCTGTCTTCGTCTTTGTGTCTGCCGATTCAATTGATGCTGCTCGTCCGTCAGGATGGCTCGACGTGGATCCCTGTTTTTATTCCTAGTTCCACCTTCTTGACATAGTTTCCGTCTCTTGAATACCAACTTTCTGCAGGGGTGGATTGAGCGGTGGCAACGTCCGAAAGGTATGATTTTGTAGTAGATGGCCCCTTCCTGAAACGGCTTAAGAGCGCCTCGCCTTGGTCGGCGAGAAGAAAGATAGAAAAGAAAGAAGGTATGAAATCCTTAGCTCCACCACGTGTTAAGCATACGAGAATTGAGACTGCTACCAGCCCCGGGAATTCCATAGCTGTTAGCTCTGACCCCATCCAAGGTACCTTGAAATGACTAGGAGCTCGCATGAACCCATATCAACCCATCTTCAATCAAGAGAACCGGAACTAGCTGGAAGAGAAAAAGAAGTAGATTAGGACTGCCTTTTAGCATTAGCTGGCAGGGAACTCAGAGAGAGTTCGGCAGGAAGGGAAGGAAATCTTCAACTTAAACTTCAACTCGCGTAAAGGGAGAAAGAAAAGAACTGGAAATGCATAGGACCATGAAATTATGAATGAAAATCGCAACTACTGGTACAATAGATACATACCGGTACTACTGGCCCACTATCGCTAGACGGAATGACACTAGCACTCTTAGCTCTTTAGCTATTACGCTTGGTAGTAAGGCGAGGAATGATAGCAAGAGTGCTTTACGAGAAAGAACCCCCTTTTTTTCTTTGACCTTGACCTAGCCCTTGCTTTGCTCGTTTGACACCTTGACTGGCTAACTAAGAGACTAGTACCCTTTCTGACTGAACCTCTGTGTTGCCACTTTGGTAAGGAAAGTCCACTAACCGGGCATAGTACCTCGTTAGCAGGACCACTATTGCTCCTTTTAAAGCTTTGTGCTCAAGTGATCTGGGAGGGTGTCAAACCTCCCCCAGCCCCTTATTCAGGGGATGGTGCCAGGGAGTTTGAACTGTTAACAAAAGATTTTCTCGATACAAAGAAGAGCCCCACTCCTAGAATAGTTAGCCACTCA